CTCTCTCTCTCTCTCTCTCTCTCTCTCTCTCTCTCTCTCTCTCTCCTTCCTTCCTTCCCTCCTTCCCTCCCTCCCTCCCTGTCTCTCTCTGTCTCTATCTGTCTGTCTCTCTGTCTCTGTCTCTCTCTCTCCCCCTGCCCCCTCTGGATTGTCTCAGGTCTGCAGGTGATTAAGTATCAGCTCAAATGCTGATGATAACGCCAGAATGGATACTTTGAGCCCTAGTCTTCTTTCTGTGTGATCTCTTTCCAGACTTTTGTGTCAGAGGTTTATTTGACATTCTTTCTTGTTTGCCTAACACGTCTGCTAAGCATGCTCAGAGCAGGCATTCACACTCACCGCTTGAAATGTCAGAGGCATTGCTAACCGTCTCTCCTAGCCCAGGAAATGGCAGTGCATTCTTGTTGCCTGTGCCCCAGCCTTATAATATCCTGACTTCCTCAGTTCACTCATATCCTGTGTTAAATGTCCCAACCAACGCTCAGTCCTCTGTTTACAATGTTCACCCAGACCTGATTGATCTCTGTTTTCACTACCTCCACTGTGGTCAAAGCCTCTGGGATCATTTGTGGCAATGTCCAACTGGCCTCCGGCATGGATTACTGTTTGCAAAGTAGTTAAAATAATTACTTTAAAACCTAAATCATAGCTGGGCAGTGGTGGTACACGCCGTTAATCACAGCATTCAGGAGGCAGAGGTAGGTAAATTTCTAGGCTAACCTAGTCTACAAAGTGAGTTCCAAGACCACAGAGAAACTTGTCTTGAAAAACCAAAACCAACCAACCAACCAAAAAAAAATATAAATCAGGCTAAGCTCCCTCTCTGTAGAATACCATCCACAATGTTTTGTATCAATCTTGACTAAAATCTTACTCTTTGTCACATACTAAGTGGCCTTCCATGCTGAGACCATTTTGTATTGTCTGTTTCCTCCAGTCCATCCTTTTGTATCCCTGATACAGAACTACTGGGGTCCCCTTTAGAACCTGCGCACAGAAGTTTCCTTTCTGTGTCTGAACGGCTCACTTCCCTCTCATCACACAAGTCTTTGCTCACATTGCCTCATAAGAGGCAGCCTCGGCTAGGCTATATAGAGGACACCTTTCCTTTCTCAGTCCACTCCTTTACTTCATCTGCTTTTCCTTCATGCCAACCACAGCTCATAAATTTAATTAGACTTGTGTTGGCTGCATAACTACTAAGCATGCACATTCTTAATATAATTCATTCCCCCATAACAATCCTCTAAATATTTACATTGTACTAGCCAGTGTAAGTACTCTAAGGGTGATTTAAGTACCCAGGAGAATGCACACACAGAATATGCAAATGTCACACCATTTATATAAGGTACTTAAGCATCTCTGGCTTTGTTATCTTCAGGGTTCCTGGGTTCCAATCTTCTACAGATACAGAGGACAGTTATCTTTTATTTCTACAGTTCCTTTCTACAATATTGTAAGGGCCATTAGAAGCAAGAAACCTACTTTACTGTGGCTATTTCTTCAGGGTCTGTCCTGTGCTGCTGGCTGGACACGTTACTTTTTAGCGTATTATCTTCACTTGATACTTAAAAAAAATGACCATGTAGCTAAATGGGTGAAACCTGTCCCATGCTGAGGTGAGGGATTCACAGAACAAATGTGCTTAGGCACACGGAGTCAAAAGCACCAGCTTTGTGTGCTGATTACAATTAATGCATGCTTAATTACAGTAAAGATGGTGGGCAGGAGAAAGCGACAGAGGAAGAAGTGTGTGATTCTCTGGTATCTGCAGTTCTAAAGGGGGAACAGAAATAGCATGCTACTACTATATGAGTTTGTCCATTTGCCTTGGGCCTTTGCTAGTCTATAGTACTATAGTATCCAGAAGAAGTATTGCCTCTGGCCTCCATTATAGGATAAATCTATTTATACTCATTGTGTGAGAGTGTGTGGTATGTGGTGTGTGTGTGTGTAATTTACTTTACTATTTTAAGGAAGTCATGGAAGTAGTAAGTTCCCACATGATAAAGTTTAGTGCTAATTAGGCCTCTTTGTTCCATTTTCCCCTCCTCCCTTCTCTCCCCCCACCTCTCCTCCCTATACCCTCCAACCCACCCCACCTCCCGTCAACACCATGTGTGCTCTCTCTCCATGAACGCTCCCATCCCATGGCCCCTCACTAGTTTTCTGACTTCCATAGTACTCTAGCATGCTGAGTTTTGACAGTGGTTGTGCACATGTGCCTTAGAGATGCTAAAGTAATTTTAGCTTCCCTTTTGTATGATTTTCTCCTGTGATGCTTGGAAATGATGCTCTCTTTGTACTTTTTCTGCCTTTGAAGTTTTGAGCTTTAACTTTTTGTGTGTGTGGGGGGAATAAAACTGTAGTGTCAAATCCATGTAATATTTATCTAGCAAAAATAAATTTTATGTGTGAAAACTTCATACATATATTTATCTGAAGACAGCTCTTTTATGGATATGAGTACACTGTTGCTGTCTTCAGACACAGCAGAAGAGGGAATCAGATCCCATTACAGATGGCTGTGAGTCACCATGTGGTTGCTGGAAATTGAACTCAGGACCTTTGTAAGAGCAGTCAGTGCTCCTAACCACTGAGCCATTTCTCCTCTCCGGCTCAAAGAAAGATCTTTTTAGCATTTTTTTTTCAAATTAGATAGATTGTAATAAATAGAACTCTTAGATGTGTTCATAACCACTAATTAATTTTCCTCTTAAAGATTTGTGACAGCATTTGCCTATCTCTCTAGTAACTCCGTCTTTTTAATTTATATAACCTGCAGGTGTGAATCAAACAGTCCACACATTCATCCAGTTGGCTGGTGTAAAGAACATCGAAGAACCCTGATTACTCCTCCAGGTTTGGATTTATAGCTTCTCTAATGCTTTTCAGATACTTGGAAGAGTTGGCCAAGGTTTTTTTTTTTTTTTTTTTGGTTTGTTTTTTGTTTGTTTGTTTGTTTTTGTTTTTGTTTTTAAAGAGAATATATACTTTAAATTCGGGGTGCCCTAGAGTCCCTGTCACAATTGCTCAGCTCAGTCACAGTGCAGAAGTGGCTGCAGGGGGTAAGTAAACACATACATGTGAGAGTTACAGCTACATTTTACAAAGCCCCGAAGCAGCTGCAGGCACTAACTCGCTGACCTCCGTAGAGCTTCAACTGTGAGCATTAATATTGGCATCATTTGTATTGCAACCTTAGATATCATGTTCTTCCACAGAGTGTGCCAAAAGACCTTTGTGTTTTTAACTTAAGATTCAGTTTTGGACTTAATTGCCTTAGCGGTTGATAATGTGGGCGGGTAAAAAAAGTGGACATGGTGTTGAAGGTGGGACATGGGCTGCCCCTCTGTGGCCAGCAGTGTGAGTGGCTATTACATACAACTACTTTTATTTTGAGTTTTCTAAATTATAAGTTTATGTATGTTTGATTACAAGTTCAGAGTGAAGTAGAGACAGCCGCAGTTTTCAATCTTCATAGTTTAGAAGTTTATGAGCTTTTTCTGTATGTAGTGTCTTATTTTAGACCATTCTGATAAGTTCAAATGTACAAGGTAAGCTCACTAGATGAGCTTTAAAATGTGTGTGTGAGTATAATGTAAGCTCGCATACTTTGTTTTTACTTACTTGGAAACAGCCTCTGTAGAGAAGGTTCAAGAGTACTTACAAATTCAGATGTACTTCAACTGGAGCCCAGGGTCCATTTGTGTTTGACAGCTGTCCCCGCACTGTCTTTCATGCAAAAGAGTCTCAGCTCCTCAGCTGCTCATCCTCTAGTCCCCAGCGAGAGTCCCCTTGACAATCAAACCTTAGTATGTGTGAGACTTATAGACTAATTACTTTGTACAGAGTAGCGTTATTTGAGTCTGATGGACATTTCCCAATGACTAGACCCAAACTGTACATTTGTTTGTTTTTATTTTTCCTAGTGTTGTTTTTGAGATGCTTTTACTAGGTAGCCATGATGGCCTGGAACTCGCTATGTAGACTATGCTGGTTTCAAAGTCACAGAGATCCACCTGCCTCTGGTTCTTGACTAAATGAAAGCAACCCCATGTCTGTCTCCAAGTTGAACCTTTTTTTTTTTTTTTTCCTGAGGATGATCACAGTGTTTTTCTTGTAAACCTCTCTCTCTCTTTTTTTTCTTTCTTTTTTTTTTTGTTTTTTGTTTTTTTGTTTTTTTGAGACAGGGTTTCTCTGTGTAGCCCTGGCTGTCCTGGAACTCACTCTGTAGACCAGGCTGGCCTCAAACTCAGAAATCCACCTGCCTCTGCCTCCCAAGTGCTGGGATTAAAGGTGTGCGCCACCACTGCCCTCTTGTAAACCTCTCAAGGGCACAACATTTCAGTTTGTCTTTTTGCCATCATTTGATCAAGGATGTATTTGCCAGTCTTCTCTACCAATACTATCTTTTAGAGATATTTGAGATTCTGTAATTACCTCCTATCTCATCTGTCTTTCAGTTATACCATCTGCTAATATTTCTATTTGGAACTAATTACTATTCTAAGTTGACAAATGTTAATGGGTAATGGTAATTTTTCTTATCCTATCTATTTTTGTATATTTAATTGATATTCTTCTGCAAAGATTAGCTTTTTCATTTCCTAGTTACTCATCCAGTTAATTTATTTATATCTTTGCAGAACTGTAGATTACTAACTTTATTATTATTATTAGTAGTAGTAGTACTATTGTTATTGTTATTATTTCATGTATGTGAGTACACTGTCTCTGTCTTCAGACACACCAGAAGAGGGCACTGGATCATTTTAAGATGGTTGTGAGCTATCATGTGGTTGCTGGGAATTGAACTCAGGACCTCTTGAAAAGCAGCCAGTGCTCTTAAACACTGAGCCATCTCTCTAGCAGCACCTACTAACTTTATCTGAGAGTTTATTATTGACTTTTATGTAGGTGCTTTAAAGGTGTACCAAGTAACAGCCCCTTTATGGTGATTGATCAACCTCCTTTTCCCCTGTTTATCTTGGGATTTGAAACTGCTCTACTGAGCAGCAACAAATACTGTATACTCACTGGTCTTGACGCAGCCCTACTGTAGCCATTTTGCCAAGATTTTTTTTTTTTTTTTTAAGTGGTGAATGCTATTTAGTAATCACAGTCTGGCTACTATTTGTTTACTCCTAGCAGGGTGATGCACGTATCAGGCAACTCAGTGGCTGAAGGGAATATGCATCTGTAAGCATATGCAGAACTTTGTATTCTTTTCTATTTCAGTGCTAGTGTATATTAAAATAGTTCCATTGATACCTCTGACCATGATTCAAATCTTAAACTATTGGCTTCATTTTAGTTTTCTTCTGTCTGTGTCTATACAGGTGGGTAGAAACCTGACTTCGATTACAGCTAATGTATTCACAGATTTTGTAAGTCCTCTTCATGGGGCAAGTTTTGTATCAAGTATGCCACCATCATGGCTGCCTAAAGGATTTGGGACTCTAGAGAGAACAGAGGCATACAGGGGTTATTTTTGCACCTTCTTTAAAGAATATTCTGTGACTTGAGCATGTTTCTTTATTCGATCTAACAAAAGAAGGAGTTATTTGAAATATTTCATCAATAATGCTTGTAAATCCCATGTTTTATTTCACTATTTTGATAAATATTTTATACAATCACATCTAAACAGTGATAGTCAAAATAACAGATCAGAAAGGAACTAGCTAATCATTAAGATGAGCAGGAGCTCTGGAGGAGCGAGCAGCTTTGAGTTTCTCTGTGACTGAGCATCCTTTCCTGGGCTAACTTCTTGCCATATCATGTTTTTTTTGTAGGGCTATTTGTTGGTTCATTTTCATCACACCCTCAGGATTCATGTTCTTTATTTCTTAGGCTATTCGCATGTGAAACACTTTTCCTGGGATAAATATTTAGAAGAAACAAATTCTTTACCTGCTCCTGCAAGAGCTTTCAAAGTGGTAAGAGAATTTGCTACACACTGTTTGGTTAATATGTATTGATGGTGCCGTTTACTTGTGATCATGTAAGAAACTAGTAAGCTGACTTAGGAGAAGAAAGCAAAGAGCCAAGGGAGATGTTTTCAAAGTCTTCCTTTTTTTCTCTCCTTGATCTTTTTTTTTTTTTAATATATGTGAATACACTATCACTGTCTTCAGACACACCAGAAGAGGGCATTGGATCATATTAAGATGGTTGTGAGCCACCATGTGGTTGCTGGGAGTTGAACTCAGGATCTCTGGAAGAGCAGATAGTGCTCTAACCACTGAGCCATCTCTCCAGCCCTAATAATTTTTTTAAATCATTTTTTAAGGTTTATTTATTTATTATATACACAGCATTCTGCCTGCATGTATGCCTGCAGGCCAGAAGAGGGCACCAGATCTCATTTCAGATGGTTGTGAACCATCATCTGGTTGCTGGGAATTAAATTAGGGGCCTCAGGAAGAACAGCCAATGCTCTTAACCTCTGAGCCATCTCTCCAGCCTTCAAAGTCTTTTGAGAATTCAAATTATTACTGTAATTTATGTATGTGGATGCACATGTGTTGGAGAGGCAGACATAGAAACGGGATGCAGGAGAACCTGAAGTGTTTTTCCTCAGATACTGTCCATCTTGGTAGTGTGTCTCACTGGCTTGAAACTTGCCAATTAGATTAAGTTGGCTTGGGTGAGCCATAGGATCTGCCTCCACATCTCCAGCTGGGATTACATGGGTGCACACCATGTTTACTTTTTAAATGTGGGTTCTACAGAGCTAACTTACAAGCTCAGTACTTTACCAGTGGCTCTATCTCCCCAGATACTTAAACATATTGCTTTATATTTTCTCATAAATTTAATGAGAAAATAAATATGTTAAATGTTTTTTGTAAGAGTCAGGTGTTAGATACATGTTTGTAATTCTAGAATTTGAGAGGTGAGTGAGAAGCAGCACAATTGAAAGCCAGTCCAGGCTACGTACGTACAGAGATTGTGTTTCAAAAACAAAATAATATATATTTTTTAAACATGGCTTTGTCTTCTAGGGACAGTCTTCTCCTTTAGATGATACTTTCATACAGAAATTATTATTAATTAATGATAGACTTAATTAGTAAGAACGGTTCACAATATAGGTAGAAAGAATATCATGGATTTTTAAAGAGAAAAAAAAATCATGATAAATGGAGAGAAAGCTTGAGAAAGAGTTTCTATGATTCTACCTGACAGATAGATAGTCAGGCTTTAAACAAGGTAAGGCTAATGGGGCGAGTGCAGTCTTTTCTGCCTGTTTGTTTGGTTCCAGTGTCCAGGCTTTTAACCAGATACATGGGCAGCCTACAGCCTGCGTGTCTGGTGTTACTTGAGAGGTAGAACTAAGACTTTTTCCAGTTGACCGGCAAGAATTGTAGCAGTGAGCATTCTGCTCTTCACGTTATTTTATATAATATACCAGTGCCGTGCAGAGTATCTGCCTTGTCTTCCTCAGCTTGTGGCTTTCTTAGAACCTTAATGGTGTCCTCTGAGTGTTAAGCTTTCTTTCCCAGAAGAGCTGTTCCCCCATGTTCAGATAGACTGCTGACTTGTTTTAAATTATCTTTTTTCCTGCCCTATAACCACTTCTAGATGTTTCGTCTCAGCCACTTTGTTTTTCTGTCTTTTTTAAAAACAAATTTTATGTATATTGCTTTGACCATGGCACCTTGACCAGTAAGGAAAATGTCTGGTTCTCTTTTTGGTTGATCACATAGCTACAGTATCTCTACCTCTCTCTTGTCTGCTCTTCAGTTAGGAAGTAGGCTGTCCTTCTGCACGTATGCTGAGCTGTGTGTTTTGGCTGGAGAGTGTCACTCAGTGCTAATCTGAGAACTGGTAAACTAAACAATTCAGCTGTTACTGTTGTAATTAACCTGCTCCCCCACACCGTAACATCTTTCTCATATGGCAGAAACCTCCACATGGATTCCAGAAAAAAATGAAGCTTGAAGCTGTGGACAAAAGAAACCCACTGTTCATCAGAGTAGCAACTGTGGCAGACACGGATGATCACCGGATAAAAGTAAGCCTTGGCTGCCCTGGTTTGCTTGCCTTTGTTAATCTACATCTTAAATGGAAATATTACTAGACAGTGAACTTAATCACTATAGTTAAATTACCAAAACCAAAGGAATATGCAAAGTGACTTTGCCTCTTTGTGGGTTTGTACCCATTCAACTTTTTCCTTTAATTGCCCCAAGATATTTTCTTTTTAACTATGAAGGTAGTTTAATATTTTAAATGTGTATTAGAGAAAGCAGATATAACATATTAGGGTAACATTTTCTTCAGAAGAAAAAGAAGCCAGGTGGTGATGGTAGCACACACTTTTAATCCCAACACTCAGGAGGCAGAGGCAGGTGGATCTCTGTGAGTTCCAGGACAGCCAGAGGTACACAGAGAAAGCCTGTTCTGAAGAACCCTCCGCCGCCAAAAAAAAAACCCAAAAAACAAAAAGAAAAGAAATGCATCCTGTCCTAATAGTACACTTTTAAAATTCTTAGGCATTTTTATTGACTCAATTAGTCAGAGTTTATATTGTATAAATAAAGATAAATAACTTTATAAATAAAATCAGGTTTTTACTAAAATTGGATTATTAAGACATCAGCTACTTCTCCTAAGTGAAGTCAGTGTCTAAAAGATTTGGCTGGACCCACTCACATGTAGTATGTCAGTGTGTTGTTCTGATACAGCGCCCAAAGGCCTCATAGGTTTCTGGGTTTGTCAGTCATATCTCTCTCTGGCCAGAACACTACCCAGCCTATGTTCTTGTTAGGATCTCTATAAATGGCAAGTCAGTGAGTGTCAGCACATGACATTTTATGAGGGTCTTGTTCATGCTGCTGGACATTTGTAGTCGATGTGGGGCGGGCCATGTGTGTCGTCAGCTGATGATGTTCCGATAAGGCTGGGACTCAGGCAGATTGGATAAACCAAGCACTTTAGGTTATTTTTTTTGAGATAGGGTTTCTCTCTGTAGCCCTGGTTGCCCTGGACCAGGCTGGCCTTAAACTGTGATTCACCTGACTCCTTTCAAGTGCTGGGACTAAAGATGTGCACCCCCACTGCCTGGCATTCTAGTGCATGTTCTTTTTCATTATAGTTGGTTGTGGTGTAGAAATCATGAAGAAATCAGAGCTTTAGAGCTGGAGTTTGAATAAACATCTAATAATAAACAAGTTTTAATAAATGAGCAGAAAAATCTGTCAAGCATAATATGATTTTCATAGCAGCCGCTACAGTGTATATGATGACAACTTTTTAGTTTGAGAAATAAACTTAGCATCCTGTAATGGTGGGTAGGAATATGAAGCACCCAAGTTCTTCAAAGGGCACTTTGGCATCACAATGTTGGAATGTTGTTTAATCCTTCTGAGTGTTAGTCCTAGTAGCTTAGTGAAGCAGCCAGAAGGACTGTTCAAAGATAAAGTCTCAAGAAAAGGAAAGCACAGCTGTGCTGGCTTTGACGTTAAACAGAGAGTGACTTCAGCAGTCCACGGGAAAAGCAATTACTATGTGTCTGCATTACATTAATGGAGAATATTTCAATAGGGTTCTTAGTGTTGGGAAGCAAAATATTCAGGTTGAAATTAGTATGTAAAATATTTGTTTGGTTTTTTTTTTACCCCAAAGTACAAATCCATAATGGATTCTGTAAAGAGATATACTAAAAATAATGACATCCTGAGACTATAAAGTGTTAGGCTTTGCATTAATTTGAAATAATACTGTTTTCTTTGTGTGTGTGTGAACTTTGATCCAGAGAAATGAAATACTGTGAGATGCAGATTCACTAATTAATGGGGAAGCCTCAGACTGGCCCCCATCTTTTAACTAATTGCTGAGCCCCGAGTCTTAGAAAACATCTTGCTCATTCCTTCGTATCCAAAGAGGAGCTGGCTGTGGCTATGTGGAAATCATTTGACTTTAGACTGAAGGTTACAAACTGAACTTGTGCAGACAGCCTATTTGTAAATACCTTAAAGGGCCAGTTCACGGACAGAGACTCAGTTACAGATTCAGCAGAGACACTGGGAAAAAAAAGGATCCAGCACCAGGAGGAGTTTTCCTTCTGCCTCATGAGGTACTATAGCAAGTAGGATTGTTTCTGTTTTACAGAAAAGGAAGAGGAGCACACGGTTACTTGTGTAGTTTCATATTTTCAGTGTCTCAGAAGTAAAGTCAACTCTGTTAAATGAGATCAGCTCTTAAGCTCTTTTACGATATATACCGCAGTCTGGTGGTGAGACAGTCATTCTTGCTAGGTCCTGTTGAAGACAATGTTAACCCGCTCTGAGGACAGGACATGAAGTAGTTAATGCCACCTCCCTCTTCACTCACGCCTGCTGGCCTCAGCTTGGTGTGACCGTTTGTCTCCAGTTCTTTAAATACTTTCTGTGCACTGGTATTTCTCAGTAGAATTTTCATTACTTTTGAGGCAGTGTGTCACTATGTAGCATACTCTGGCTGTCCTGGAACTCAGTATATAGAACAGGCTGGCCTCAAACTCACAAAGATTCTCTTGTCTCTGCCTCCTGAGTGCTGAGATTAAAGGTGTGTGCCACCACCACGTGACTTGTCAGTTCAATCTTTTACTTCTCTCTGTTATGGAACTCAGGATCTCGATCTGGCCGTGTTTTGTTTTGTTTTTGTTTTTTCACCCGTTCCTGTTACTAGTGTGATACACTACTCTTGTTCATTTCTAAGTCAGGTCTTCTAAAATTATTTCTTTTGGTTTTCTGTTATAAATGCTCTCTTTGTAGTTTTTTTTTTAATGATTTCTATCTTTTCATTAGGTTTTTACAAATGCTACAGTAGTTTTGATGTGTTGTCAGTCAAATGTGCTAGTATGTTTGTCAGCAATGGGTATCTCTCTTTTCCTTGAACTGTTTTCTCCACAACTCTACAGTTGCCTGCTGCAGCTAAGTGAGTTCATACTCTCAGCCTGGCTGGTCCACAGGCTGCATCCTCAGGTCTTTTTTCAGTCGATTGCATTTCATTTTCCTGAAAATTGCAAAGTATGATGACATGCCTTGTTTGCTTGGCATGCTTTTGTCCCGCAAAGCATATCGTTTCCTAAGAAGACATGCGTCTCCCTAAGAAAGGACATTTTAGAGACGTAAAGAGAAGTGTCCATCTACTGGCTTTGCTTCTGACGGTTAGTGTGACTGGGCTAAGTGTCTTAAGGAGAAGCATTTACCAGTAGTCCTGCATTGCTCTGCTGCATCTCCTGCAGCTTTTGGGCACTAACGGAGTCTGATTGCATCTCTCTGGGCCATGGGCTTGTTTCTGGAGCACTTGGGGCTGTCTCTGGTGGCCTCATGCTCTGTGATGCTGTCTTTCTGTTTGTCAGACTGGGTCCTCATGCCTTCCCACGCTGGTGCTTTGTGTCCTGCGGTCTCTGACATGCCTGACTTCTGCTTTGATTGTTTCCTTATCTCTCTTCTCTTTTTGGAAGTCACTGCTTTGATATTGACTGTCAGGTTGACACACTTGTTTTAAAATTCTCTTTGCTTAGAAATGCCTTCATCTATTTTTCAAACTTTCTGTTGCATTTTTTTTTCTGTTGCATTTTTAATTGCATCTTTTTTTTTATTTTCAAGAAATTAAAAAAGAAAAAAAAACAACAACATTATTTAGTCCCTGCTTTTTTAAAAAAAAAAAAAAGGATCTACAAGCTGGGCGGAGGTAGTGCACACCTTTAATGGAGTTCCAGGACTGCCAGGGCTACAGAGATAAACCCTATCCAGGAAAAAAAAAAAAAAAAGAAATAAAACAAAAACAAATATTGGATGGATGGATGGGTAGATGGATGAGTAGATGGATGGATGGATGGATGGGTAGATGGATGGGTGGGTGGATGGATGGATGGATGGATGGATGGACGGATGGATGGACAGACGGATATATGATAGATAGACAGATATGTATGTATTACTGATAGTTTTTCTTCATTTTCTTTGACTATTTTCTCAAATTCCTCAAATTCTCTTTATAATATTACTTGGTTTTTTTGTTTTTTGTTGTTTTGGGTTTCTTTGGTTTTGTTTTTTTCTTGTTTGTTTGTTTGCTTATGTACTTATTTACTGTGTATGTATGAGTATGTATGTGTACATGTGCCTTTGGATACCAGAGAGGCCACTAGGCCCATGAAGCTGGAGCTGACCAGTGATTGAGGTTCTTTGCCAGAGCAGCAGATGCTCTTAGCTTTTGAGCCGTTGATCCACCCCCCAAATGTCTCTTAGTTAGCATGGTCTGTTTTTATCCTGGTTCTTGCCTGTCAGGCGATCTTTGGAGCCTGATCACAGTAAGAATGATGCCATACATGAGGTGCTTTTGTGAATGGGCTTATAGTCATATTCTCTTGTCTGTTGGGGATGTCTTCCGAGATTGCTAGTGGATGCCTGCAACCACACATAAAGTCCCATATACACTGTGCTTTTACCTATACATACATACTGTAATAAAGTATAATTCATGCACTAGATATAGAGAATAACAACAATAATTTGACAACTATAGTAATATACTATAAAATGTTGTATGAGACCAGTCTCTTTATCACAATATGAAATTTTCTATTGACATTTTTATACCATAGTTGATCTCAGGCAATGGACACTATAGAACAGTGTTTTTCAACCTATGGGTGTGACCCCTTTAGGGGTTGCATATCAGATATCCTGCATATCAGATATTCATATTACCATTCATGACAGTACCAAAATTACAGTTATGAAATAGCAATGAAATAATTTTGTGGTTGGAGGTCACCACAGCAAAGAAAGTGTATTAAAGGGTCACAGCATTAGGAAGGTTGAGAACCACTGCTCTAGAAGGTGCAATCTTGGGTAAGAAGACAATACTGCATGAGTGGTGGCTTGAATGTGAATGGTTTCTGCAGGCTCATTTATTTGAATGCTTGGTCCTTCCCTAATGTGTGAAACTGTTTGGGGAGGAATTAGGAGAGTGACCTTGTTGGAGGAGAGGTGTCACTGGAGGTGAGTTTTGACGTTTCAAAAGCCTATACCAGGCCCTGTCTCTGTCTCTGTCTGTCTGCCTCCAACTTGAGGATAAGATCTGAGCTCTCAGCTATTTCTCCAGAGCCTTGCCTGCTCATAGCCATGCTCCTCCTTCTATAGTAGTCATGGTCTAACTCTGAAACTATAAGCAAGACCCCAATTAAGTGTTTTCTTGTGTTTTGGGTTTTTTTTTTTTTTTGGTTTTTCTTTTGTTTTACTTTGTTTTGTTTTGTTTTTTGAGACAGGGTTTCTCTGTGTATCCCTGGCTGTCCTGGAACTCAATCTGTAGACCAGACTGGCCTCGAACTCAGAAATCCGCCTGCCTCCACCTCCCATTAAAGGCATGCACCACCACCACCCTGCACGTGTTTTCTTTTATAAGTTTCTTTGGTCATGGGCCTCTTCACAGCAATAGGAATGTAACTAAGGCAATACATTAAGAACAAGTCAATAATAATGCTGTTTTTTTTAATTAAATTTCTAAAGAAAATGGGCACTGTTATGGATAGCATATAATACAGAACATTTTGCTACTTAAAACTGCAGTTAAGGGAAATTGTTACATACTTTTCACCTAGAAGTATAATTTGGAATCTTTGTAAAAATCATCCCATATGTTACTGATAATTCCAGTTAAAAATAGCCTATGGAGGCCCTTCTCATTAAAACCACTTGTATGAGCTGGGCAGTGGTGGCGCACACCTGTAGTCCCAGCACTTGGGAGGCAGAGGCAGACGGATTTCTGATTTTTAGGCCAGCCTGGTCTACAGAATGAGTTCCAGGAAAGCCAGGGCTACACAGACTAACCCTGTCTTAAAAAAAAAAAAAAAACAAACCACTTGTATGACTAGATCCAACATGGGGTAGCATCATAGATTGGCTCATATTTCTCTTTTGTTGTGGAAATTTTCCATTTTATCTTATGCCCTATTATTCCTTTTTGGAATTTAGCTTTTTGTCTTTAACAGTCTTATTCATGTAGAATTAATTAATTCTGGCATTTTAACCCCAATTCTTCCCAAGCAGCCCTCCTTCTGGTTTTATGTCTTTTATGGTCTGTGACCCTCTTGAGTTTAAATGATGTCTCCTTCATGAACAAGAGTAACAGTAGGGTGCTATTTACTGTCATGTGACTATAGATGAATGTGGCACCCTTCCTCTCAGTAAAGACAAGCACAGTCTTACCAGTTTTCCAGTGCTACAGTGAGTTCATGAGTTCCATAGGCATGTCATATACAGAAGTCATAGCTCCTCAACCTCCAGCTTTTCCACTCTTCCCACCCCATATTCTTCAACATTTCCTGACCTTGGGCTGCTCTATGGGGAGGACCCATTTGGGGCCCATCACGTGACTGTCTTATCGTCTCAGCATCTTAGACAGCTATGCATCTCTGTATTAGCCACTGCCTAGCACAATAAGCAGCTTTGCTGATGAAGGCTCAGGTCAGTTGGAAACCAGAAGGCTTCAAATCAATTTAACATATAAATTATCCTTACTCTCTTTGTGGTGTAAATGATGTAATAACTTTCTATTTTCAGCAAATGATGAATGTCATTTTTAATGTTATTTTGACATTACTTTGATCGAAGAGAACCAAGTTTTGAGAGTTAACTAACCTTAGACAATGCTTCATATTCTTTGTTTGAGAATAATGAATGACTGTTTCTGATTCTTGCCTAGTGCCTTCTAACTATCTGCTTATTAGGTAGGCAGGGAATCTCCATGAGCCCTAGTCCCCTCTTTAGTGTGCTACCCATGATTTTTCCAAGGAGAGGTATTCTTTAGGGCTTTAATTCTAGGAAAACTGACTTGTAGGATGGAAAAACTGGATTATTTTGAGCCCATATACATCTGTATGTATCTATAATAACTGCATACTGCCTTACCTGTAAACAACAAGTTACTAAAATGATAAGTCAAAGACAGTGTATTCTGTTGCTTTTCCAAGTAGCTCTTCCAGACATTATGGTCACTGTCGATGTTCTATGCAAATTCCCTTTAAGCTTCTTCTTCGAGCATTAGGGCTCAACAAAATGTGGCTATTTAGGCAGGCTGATGAGAGAATCTCATCTTGTACTTCTAATTTGTAAGTTTTTTATTGCGAATAAACTGTCTCTTTACAGACATACCAACCACCTGTGTTTATATTCTCGACGATGAGCCATTACATCTCTTTGCTGTCTTTCTGATGCAGTTCTCACCCTTTCTTATTGATAGATTGGGCTTAGTAAGGAAGAAAAGGCTTTGTCATTTGTATAGTGAGTGTATTTTGGGAGTCTTTAATCTTGCTTATAAACAGATTTATGCTCTGATGTTTTACATTTTTATGTACTTAAATTGATCAGTATTGTCTTTTATGAGCTTAGTTTGGTCTCCTGCAATGATTATACTGTGTTTACTCAGGCATTCCTCTAGAATATCTAGTGTCTTGTAAAGATTGAAAGATTCATACACTTCAGAAGAGTCAAATTGGCAAACAATCTTAAAGTAAAATATATAAAGTACTTCAGTATAACCTTTGATTTTAAAAAGTAACATTACATATATTATAATGTGTATTTGTGATGTAATCATTTAAAGGATATATATATATATTACCTTGGTGAGCAGTAACAGTATCAACTATGACCATAATGTATCTTAAGAGATACTATGGTTATTTATAAGAAAGATTGTTTTGGAGCTCAGTAGCACCAGATCTTCTTCAGAGAAGACACATGTTTAACCCCCAACCCTTACATAGAGGTTCACAACTGTCTGGAACCACAGTCCTGGGAGATTCAGTGCCCTCTTCTTGATTCTGCAGACAGTAGACATGCATGTGGTGCATAGACATATATGCAAGCAAAACAGCCATATGCATAAAATAAAAATAAATCAACTTAAAAAAACAAGAAGGCTATTTTAATGGTATGGTTCAGGGATTTGTTTCTAGCAAGGCAGTGTACTTTAAAAAAAAAATCTTACTTTATATTTACCTCCAAGGTCTACCTTTCTGCTTTTCCCATCTTCCTTCCCCCTCTGATTTTTAAATCACCTCAGCAGTATCTCTGAGTGTCTTGTTTGCTGTTTGAAGATGTTGCGTATGGCTTCTCTTCTGCATTTGTGGACAGTATTTAAGGATATGTATAATAATCATGGAGAACTGTTGATGCATCTTTGGGAAGGCAGTTACTTGTGTTTAGATAATTCGCTGATAGTTTCAAAAGCATCTTTTATCTCAGGTTGTGAGTTAAATAATTGAAGTGATTTATTAGATAGTTAATATACTGTGTAAATCAGAAAAAAAGGACAAAAATCTTGTGCCGTGGGTTGAAGTTTTACAGAAGTATTCTCTGACTCTGTGTTCTTCTTTCTGCCACCCAGGTTCACTTTGATGGCTGGAGCAGTTGCTATGACTACTGGATTGATGCAGACTCTCCAGATATTCACCCTGTAGGCTGGTGTTCCAAGACTGGGCATCCTCTTCAGGCTCCGCTAAGTAAGATACACTGAGTTGTCATCATCAGTGGTTTCATTTTTTGAATAATGTGCTTTCTTTTTGTCTCCTATCTCCACTTCTTTCTGTTCTTCTGATTTCGTCTCTTTTAATTGCCACCAGCAAGCACGTGTACACATGCATGCACACATGTATGCACACACGTGTGAACACCCCCCCGCACACACACACCCACACACATGCACAAAATTATAAAAGAAAAAATCCATATTGCCTAAAGAAGTATGGTGTTTTGAGCTATATTTACAACTAAACATAACCTTTTGAAATTAGTATTGATTTCTAGAGGATAATTTGTCAGATGATTATAATTTCAGTATCAAATATTCTAATAAGAAACCTTATACTGTAGCCTTGAAAATGTTATCACTGGCAGAAATTGAAAAAAGTATAAAGGCAGCCCCCTTGTGCCTTATGATTTATATTACATGTGAGTCTGTAGTTTCTTCAGTAAAGATTTCAATTCAATTAAAAAAAAGCAATACGGGGTGGGGTGGGGTGGGTGGATAATATATCATGATCTCAATTTTAAAGAATATGTACACTGTATGAGAAAAATATGAGAAATAAATACAGTATACTATAGTCAGATGTCTTTTCTTTTAATAATGTTTTTTCATTATACAGTGTGTAACTTTATGTGGGCTATATGCAGACTGAGGGTGCATTACAACATAAGTGTGTATTTTCTAATTGCAGAATGTCTAAAATAAAAAAGTTGGAAGAAGGTATTAGTTAAACAAACTATGCCACATAGTTTGTATACATAACATAGTCATAAAGGATATCAGTATTGTAAAACATGAAAGAGAAGTTCAAAATCAGACTTTCAGATATGCATTTGTGTTGTGCTTTTTATGAAGCAAAATGAAAATCCTAAATTTCATATAGTCATGCATGTTGGAGCCACATCTGGGAGGGCATTCACCTACACATGTGGTTGAGGATGGTCCAAAATGCAGAAGAGCTGCAGAGATTTGTAAGGCTTCTGTGCCTTCTAGCCATGGCAATGTAGCTGGCTCAGGCAGTTCCAACAGGATGCTTGCATTTCGTATTCGACAATCTAGTGTTTGAAGTTTTCACATTGAATATTCTTGTACAATTTGTTATTTGATAACAGTTCTTTCAATTTTTTCTATCAAATCAGATTTAAGTACCTTTGTTGTCTGTATCTTATAAGAAGGTCATTTCAAAATTTACCATTTCAGTATTAAAGAAAATAACCTTTGTGACAAAGTGAACCATGGGGAAATCTTATAAAAACAGAGCTGTATAAATCGTTTTAATTTTTTACAAGAACTACTTGTTTTTCTATAGGTATTCATTGTTTGAAAAATGGAATTTTGTTTTGTTTTCTCATTTTTTTCCTCTATCCTGTTCTCATCCTACACATTTAGATCTTTAGCTTTCTGCTCAACTTTGTCATATCTGTCTTTTTTAACTTCTCATTTTATCATGTTTGTTACAGGCCCTGCAGAATTAATGGAGCCATCAGAGACTGGGGGATGTCCAACTCTAGGCTGCAGGGGAGTTGGTCATTTTAAAAAATCGAGGTACCTGGGCACACAGAGGTATGTGCTTGCCATAGGGACGTTTAGGCATGGCCATGTGGAGGGGCTGTCCCTGAATGTAGAAAAATGCTTCCTTCTATAGGAAACAGATGTGAACTGATTTATATTCAGAGCCTTAAGAAATGTGGTTACCATGGAGACCGCAAAAATGAAGGATATATCTAAAGTTAAGTCTCCCTGAAAGAACACGCATTCACTGTTTAAAATAGATTTACTTTAGTTATTTTGTTTTTTTTCTTTTTGCTTTTGTTATTTGTTTTTTTGAAACTTGGTTAGTTTTACAGATCCAGGGCTTCTAAAATAGTTATTTGAGGTTTACCATTAGTAATGAAATGAGGGCAGACACCTTTGAAATTATTTAGCTGAATATGATATGATTGGGTGACCTTACACTTTGAATAAAAAGGTGAGCTAGTGTAGATTCACAGTGAGCATAAGAAAACCATACTATCAAATGTAAAAACTTAATGGTCAGAAAAATGATTTTTCTCAATATTTTTTCTTACTTGTAAATAATTTAAAAAACAAAACCAAACCAAAAGTATAATTAAAACTTGATGTTCAGGTGATTTGGGGATTTTCATAGATACTTAAAAATATTACTGACAAATTTTTATGATCTATGGTGATTTTTAAGAGACGAGCATCACCCACTTGAGTGTGTGTTAAAATGGTAGTATTATCAGTGTAAGTCATGAAGCATGCTAATTAGATTACTCATTGAGAAAATTTTCTTTATCTAGTTCATATAGGGTTATGAATGTGGTTCTTAAAGTAGGTAAATGCTACTGAGCCTGACATCCTCAATTCCACCCAGAGTCCACAAGACAGGGGAGAAGCAGCTCTGGAAAGGGGCCCCTGACCTCTACACATGTGCAGTGTCACCTTTGTGCCCTCCCTATAACATTAAAAACATTCACAAGCGTCACTACCCACTCCTCAAAGAGTTCATAAGAATTGTAAAATTAGTGTATTATTTTCACTGAGTGCAGTGAACTTTCCCTGTATCTCGGCATCTATAAGTGTTATTTAGTTTTTGCTTTGTTTTTTAAGAGGTTCATTATGTTCCAGAATAAAAAGTAAATAGAGACGGGATGATGATTCTATTTGCAGGCACCATTTTTAAATTCTTTGCGCTACTTCCATGGCTGTAAACCAAAGATACAGCATTAATTTAAACTCTACTGGAGACATCTTAGGAGCCATTACCTAGGCCTCATGAAGGCAGCTAGATTACCTTTCAGCTAATAACATCAGGCTGAGTGCAGGATCCAGCTCCCAAGTGTCCAAAACTCCCATCCTTATTTCAGAAAACTTTTGTTCAGTTGTTTCTTTAGAAGAACAGGTTTTTTTCAGTCAGAACATGTAATATTTATTGAATATTTACCTACTTTATGTTAGAGGTTGTTCTGTTATGTAATGTATGAGCCAGCTTTGAGAACCACACTCTGGTATAGGAACTATTCCTTTCCCATAAACTGTGTGGGAAGCGGGAAGCTTGTAGTGTCCACAAGGACAGTGTAGTATTCCATGTGCATAATAGCTTGTTTTCTCTGGCCACTGGTGAGGGGATCTGATGGGTCTCATCTTGATCTTTTTCATCTCACAGCCCCTCACAACCCTGCTCCGTGAACATCCCACACTCTTCACTACACAGCATCATTTTAAGTATAAGATACAAAATCATTACTAAAACAATGATCTTTGGGTTCATCTACTATATAGTCCCACAATATTCATTAGACTGGAGGCAGTTTCCTTAAATTATGAAAAAAAATTTTTTTTTAAACTGGGAAAATACTGACATGGTGTTGGGATATAGTTGGCTATTTAAAATGTGGTTTTGGCTCTGGAAGGAAACCCGCCAAACAGCACTGTGCATAGACTCATTCGCATGTCCTTAGGTCGAAGTAACTAAGTGTGGCAGTAAAGCCTAGAGAGACAACCATGTCACCTTACCTGACACTCATCATGATGGCCTTCCCCTGAGGCTCCCCCAGCCCAGCTGCTCCCACAGTTTAGTGGTTGTCTTTGGGGAATTTCTTGATGGACTGAGTGTGACAGGTGGTATTGTATTTGTCATAAAAAGGGGTGAATTATGGGAAGACTCACAGAATAACTTATGCAGAAATGTGCTAAGGAAACTTTCAGAGTAATTGGGACCATGCTAGAGAACTGTTCATTCTCTTGAAGGAGTGGGAGAGCGTAGTTTATAACTGAAAAGACAAGGCTTGACCACAAAGCTGTACTGATAATCTTGTGCATACAGGACATAGCTACTGGGATCTTTGTCTTGTGCAGAGTTGGTGGGTTAGGTCTCTGGACAGAAGGAAACAAGCTAAGAGAACCAGTGGCAGCCCAGGCTCTTCTGTTCACTCTTCCCAGCCTGGGCACAGGTTTTCTACACTGCTGAAACAGTCTGTTTAATTTATAATGCACAGTACTGCCTCCTTGGCAGGAATTAATCCTCTGCAAGTCCAGCCTGTTTTCCATCTCATCTGTCCGCTTGTGGACTAGCTCACTGCAGCATGCATATTCTCTGAAAGGTTCATTTCATTGGCAATTATTTCTGTTCTTGCTGAGAACACTGTGCTTAGGAAAACGTAATGAGAAAATTCTCTTTGGATTAATTTACTGAGAAACTGAATAAATCAAAACACAAATTCTTTACGTAGATAACAAAGAAAGTTGCTCTTTCAGAAGGGATAATTTTACGAGCACAGTAACAAAAGACTGGTTTGGCTAGGATTGCTTGTAATCTCTGAAGATTACAGATTATGGTTGATCTAAGAAATGTTATACACAGTGTATGCACTTAGTAGCATAGTTCGAGGAGGCAACCTTTAATATTGAAATATGATCAGTAAGAGTTGGATGTGTGGTGTGGAATTCTCGTCTCTAGAGGTATTCAGTAGCCAGAATGCTTGATTCCATCTCTGGGAGAAAGCATGAGTGGGAGCTAAACATTAGCATTCTTTTGTTTGACTCAGAGGTCAGAGAATGGGGAAACCCACAAGGAGTTCAGAGAGCTGTAGTTACATAGAAGTAGATGTGTGATAGAATTATTGCCTTCACAGGTACGTCTTTGATGTATAAAATCTGCTCTTTCAGAAATTAAACAAGAGGGTATTTCCAGCAGTCGCTAAAGAATATTTTTGGATTCCATGGAGGATTTACAAAGTAGTAACTGTGGATGCGCATCTGTAAACTGCTTTTCATTCAGCATCCATCCACCTAGCTCCCGAAACCTGTTGAGTGTTGAGTGCCTGACTGGTGCCAACAGGCTTTAGTGACTGTATAAAAGTTGGACCCTGCAGTCCCCGCATTGTCAGGAGTGAGTAGTAAGTAGTCAGGGAGGCCTTATCTACATAGGGAAAGACTAGAGCCCTGCCAAGGATATTTTATGGAGTTTTCCATATCACTTGATTTTTGCTGGCCTTGCCTTACACAATGGAGCTTAAATACTTCCTTCGTAAGGTAATAACAATAATGTGCAGGGTGTTTGCCCTCCTCTGTCATAACCACTGTTCAAAGGACTCATATGTATGACCGTATTTAACCCTCACAGCAAGTCTATGAATTGAACATCACTTGTAGATGATGAGGGAAAGTTTGAGTGGTTGAGTAAGTGCATTGCTAGAAGCAGAATTCAGTCCAGCCCAGAAGGGCCTTCATGTCTACTTACACCTATGACGCTCTTATACAGAGCAGTCACTTGATACAGCCTCTTCTGGTATGCTTGTCAGTATTGTGTGTGAGAGTAACTATTAGGTGCTTAAACTGGATGTGCTGCCTAATTATTTAAGGACAGATATTTATGATTTAAAAGGGTTTTAGTACCACAGTGAATGGCAGTAGACCAGGTTTTGTTTACAATGTCAACAGGAAATGATATCAGGAAAACAGTCTCCTGAGAGGCTCTGGGTAAATATCTGTCATCAACTGTCTGGTGTGCAATAATTTGCTAATATTTGTTCCATAATAAAGAATCCCACAGGATCTATGCTGTCCTTTCCTGACAGGACTTTGGATGAGTAACTAGAGTGGAGAAGGAGTTAAGGAAGGAAGGGAAAGAAGGAGAGAACGAATGACCAGGAGAGATGAACCCTGTGGTGGAATGTTAACACACCCCAAGGAATCAAACCAACATTTAGTTGCTAAAAGCTTAGTACATGAAAAACCAGAAAATTTTAATGATAAGGCCAGTGAGAATCTGCTCTCTCCATAGAAGTGTTAAATTCTGATGAGTTTTCAAAGTTCATGTACAGTTTTCGAAGTTACCAAATTGGAACTGCATGCACATTGGGGAGCTCATTCCTCTGGTCTCTGTAGACACCTGTACTCACATGGACACATCTCAGCACACACACCCACAGACAGACACTCAATCTTTTAAAACGTAGTGGCATGATAGAAGAACAATTGAACAGAACACTCGGTGATTGTGCTGATGTTGCAAATCTTGCAGCTCCTTTGTTTCTTTCAACAACAGAGGTTCTCACCTCAAGTCCTTGAAAGCACGGCTACTTATAAGCTTCACTGTAATTCATACCCTAAGGGGTAGATAGTGGGAGACAAGATGGGGAAAAACTCACATCTGTAGCTTGGCTTGCCTTGAAAGACATCAGGTAAAGCCTTGGGAATCTTGGAACAGTACTCCACTTCTCCTTGCCAATGTCTTCATTTGTAATGTAGGCGGCAAAAGAATCAATTCATGTAAAGGACTTGGAACCCTGCCTAGCAGAGAAAGCCGCAACACATAGAGCTGTGTGCAGGGCCAGAGGCGGGCAGCCGCAGCTTTTTGATGGTGCTTTCAAATCAGTTTCATTGCCACGGAGTAGAAATGAGGAAATTCTTCCATAAACTGGGCTAATATTTACCAATATTGTGTAGCAATTTAAGAGCCAGTGCTTATGATCAAACTACCAAGGACACTGTACAGGTTCCCATTGAAGCCTCTTTTTTGTTTGTTTGTTTGTTTTTTAAATCCATCAAGTGAGCACTCTCTTGGAATTGCTACCGAGGTTGTATGGATGAGTGTTAGGGAAGATCAGTCCTCTGGGTAGGGCGCCTTCATTTTCAAATAAAAACTCAGCCTGTGACACCATACTTGCTCGTCACTATGCATAGATGAGACAACAGAGCTAGTTGGCAGCCCCTATCAGCCACTGCCTGAAGCATTTCTCATTCTGCCGTTGCTGTGGGGCTCTGCTATGTGTTGTCACGCCCCCTTTAGTCATCAGTTCCCACCTCAGGAGCCAACTGGCATCCCTCTCTCCACGGTGCAGGTGTGAGGAGGAGGTTTGCTCAGGGTTGGAAGGCAGAGGGAAGGCTTGGCTTGGCGTATATCTGTGACTGACCACCACATGGCTGGCTGCCTTGGTAGAGCAGATTTTCTTACTCATTAAGGAATTTCTTCAGAAGGCTGGATTGTTTCCCTTTCAACTGACTGGATGAGCAAGGGCAATCTATCTATTTTCAAATGAAAAAAGAGGCATTTAGACAACAAGGCCCGTGACCAACATCTCACATTTCTCCGACCTATCTTCAAGTTTTCCGTTTAGTCAATAGCAGAAGTTTTCAAGGAGCTTGAACAGTTGTCTGCTTTGTAACTGGTATTTCACTGGGGACATAGACCATTCCAAAATTCCTTCTTGGTTTTCCATTGTATGAAGCTAGTGGTGTGTCCTACAACCTTGATGCCTTCCAAAGTAAATATACACGGTGTAGTTCATTGCTTGTTACGCCAGGAACTTAAGGGTGAGGGAAACTGAATTGCGAGCACGCTCCTGTCCGCTAAAAGGAACCAAAGCATTATCTTTGGCTTTTTCTTTTCCTGCCAAGAAGTTGAAGTACATAAATCCAATGAAAAACATCCACTAGAGGAGCAGTGGAAGGCATCAGAGATGACTGTGATCTGAGGCTGGGAGAACTCAACTCCTTCAAGAGCAGAGACTCAAGAGCTTGGGAGGACCTGGTTATCTGTGATGTTTGATGGTTTTAGGGAGAATTGCCGAGGATGATGATAAGTTGTGACATTGAATAGGATTTCAGTGGACATTTGCACCCTTCCTGAACTGAAGCTGAGCAATAAAGAAGGTGTTGTACCCTCAGGTAGCCACATGACAGTACAGCACATCTTCTTTGGCAGGTACAGGTGGCTGAAGGACCAAACACCCACAGGATGCTGCCTTCTGGGCTTTTCTGTCTTGAGGACTAGAGGGCAGGCAGGTCAGGCTTTGTGTTTGTAGTCCCTGAACTTGAGGAATAATATAGTGGGCCCGCTAAGATGCATGGTACATGTAAGGTGTCCCCAGCAACCTTATCCTGTTCAGATAGCTTCGGGGGATATGTCATTCCGTGCTCTGCACCCTGCCCAGACCTGGCTGGCTGCCTCCTAACTAAGCTACCAGTTGTCCCATTCTAAGTATCTGTTCACAGTAAGAGGCACTAGCTTTGCCATTTTAGTACCCATGAACTCTTGGTTAGTTCAGGCACCCTGAGCAGGACCCCATGCAGTGTTTGAATTGTGAATGTGGTCAGATTTTTTTCTTCATGCCTGACTGATAGATAGTATGCATGTTATCAAGTGAGTGGACTCATTATGCTGAGCTATTTTATTGTTGTGTGACCTCGGGCAAAAAGCAATTTTACTTAAATATTAATAGTAAACTTTCCATGATTATTGTTTTTTTTTTCCTAAATTTTTCCTAAATTTATTTACCACTAATCATCTTATCTCAGAGTGTTTATGTCTGTATATGTATATGCATGCATGTATAAGGTGTCTCTTCTGCCTCAGATTCTTCAAACACAGAACAATAAATGAAACACTCTGGCTTCCCCCATATCACAGACTGTTTCTTGGCCTGCAGTGCATCATGGGATGGCAGGAGATGCTGATAGTCCGTTAACCTTCCCTACATTTCCATCACCTACACTCAAGTTAATCCCTGTTACTTCTCTAATTTAGAGATTACCCAAAGGCTTCAAATTGAACCCAAGATAAAGCCTTGAATTACTGCCTGTGATCTACTGCGTCAACTTTGAATTACTACCTGGTGCTTCTATCCTTCCCTGTGTCTCCTGCTTCCCGACATCTCAACTTCTAGCCCTGACAGGCTCACTCTTCCATTTGTTGCACTGCCTCCTCCTAAGTGTGGGGAAGTAGATGTGGACAACTTTGTCCTGACCCTTAGGGATTTGTTCTTCTCCTAGGGAAGCCCTTCCTCACTGCCTATAAAGCATCCTCATTTGCTCTCTTGTGCTATACTCTTTGTTCCCAGAAGCCTTTCCAGTGTAAAGCTACATCACTTATTTGTGTGATTAGGCATTGCCTGTCTTCCCCTAGACTATCACTCAGTGAATCGTGGGCTTTTACCTCCTCATGTTATTAAGTTTCTAATGCTTGCAAAGTTAGCTAATATAATAGATAGTAAGTTGATAGTGTTCAATGAATTGATGCTGATGATGAGGAAACTGAAGACTGATGTCACTTAATCATTTTAAACCCTAGCGTGTCATGTGAAATGTCTTTTTTATGGAGTATTGGGAAGATTAAAACAGTTTGTATAAGTACAGCACAGTGCTTAATATAGTGTACGTGCTCCATCGAGATTTCATTCAATTGCTTTCTGGGTTTTTGTTGTGGTTGGATTGACATGGCATAAATTCATGTTAATGTGATGGTGTTATCAGTTTTGCTTAAGGCACAAGTGTAGAGCAGCATGTACTTACTAAAGTTTGCATTTTGCTTACAAGGTATCCATGATGAATTTTGTGTCACTCTTAGCAGGGAGCATTTCAAACTCTTCTCTTCTTTCCCCAGGAGAGTGTCTCAGCTTCTCTTGGCTGTGTTTAAAACGTTCCCCTGAGTGGTTATTAAGAATTCCATTATCATAGAAACTGACAAAAAGAAAACAAAGATACCAATATAATGTACCTAATGTCTAAACCATCTCCAGACTTAAGAAGGCCTCTCACAGCAAAGGGGCAAGATAGGAAGTCAACGGGAGGGCTTGATGTATCAGGAAGCCTGGTGCCCAGATAGATGCCTGAGAGACAGAAATGCTAAGCCCCAGGACAGGCATCTGCTAGCTAATGCTAAGTTAACACTTAGTAACCTTAGTTTCTTCTACTTAGGTCACAGGTACAAGGCACCTGAGAGTTTACCCTCTAAGTGCAGATAGAAAAGGTTGGCCTCTGGCCCCTTTTCACATTAGGGTTAGAATTAGTTCTAAAGCATTTATGTGTCCTCGAGGAAATCTGCTGTAACTGCAGTCCCAGGCGTAGTAGTAGTCCATGGAGACATTGAAAGTTAGTGTTATAAGGGAAATTAAATAGCTATAAATCTCCCAAGTGTGGATCTGTCTTGCGGCTGATTATTCCCAGAGCAAGTATAGGCCATGCCTTGAAAAGCACAGATGAATCCTCTGACTGCCCCTCATCTGAAGGTGTGCAGCAGAGTCCGTGAAATCAAGTGCAGATATGTTCTCTATCAGAATGAACTTAACTTATCTGAAAAGATGTATCTTATTGCTGTATCTTTAGCCTTGCATTTATGTTAGTGTGTGATACACACATATATGTAACATACTTGGTTCAACTTTGGACTCTTACATTCCCTAGCACACAATTCTAATTGATATAATTATGATCTAATGGGAGTGCACTTTTCTCTTCTTTTAATCTGTTAGTGGTGCCAATTGTCCCTATTCAGAAGTCAACTTGAGTAAAGACCGAATCTTCCCAGACCGCCTGGGAAGTAATGAGCTGACTCCATCTTCTTTCTCATACCCAAGAAGTAAAAGGACAGACACCAACGAAAGTTCCTCGTCTTCTGAAACCAGGTAATTAAATGCTGATACTTACATTGTTCAGAAACACCCTCCTTGACTAAGTTGTTGTCTTGTATGCTTTACATTTGGTAGCAATATTTTCCTGTGCTAGAAATGTACCTGATTTAGCCGGGTTGGTGATGTACTCCCAGAATCCTAGCACTTGGGAGTTAGGGACAGGAAATCAGGAGGTTAAACTACACAGTGTAAGGCCAACCTGATCTACATGAGATTCTGCCCCAAAAACAAAACAGAAAAGCACTTGATTTACTGAGAAACAACATAGAGATCCATACTTGGACGAGCCCTTTCATCCGCCCTGCCGTATATAACCAAGAGATCAAAGAATCTATCTTCCTAAGATCCTTGAATGCTTAAGTGAAGTTGGCTGTGATGCCATGCACCAAACTGCAGGTGAGGGAAAAGCCAGAGAATTGCTTCGTTCCAGATCCAGCTGAACAACATAGTGAGGTTTCATGTCAAATAAATAAGTAAGCAAGTTTAAATTCAACCCTAAACTGAGAGTGACTCAGCCAGGAAGCTGTTTCTAGAGGAGACAGAAGACATTCTGCTTTTTCCTGATGAGTTTACTTACCTCTTTTAGGAAAATGACAAGCTGTTGTAAAACTTGTAATGTTGTGTTTTGAGTTGTGTACGTGCATTATAATAGTTTCAGTGTGTTCTGTTTGACTGTGCGAGAGATGGCTGGAGGGTCTTCTGTCTCACTCTTGCAGCCACAGTGATCTACTTCAGGCTGGGGATATTCAGGAGGGAATGGTGGCAGAGTGTGCTCTGGTGGTGTAGATAGAACCCTGAAGCCTTGTTCTTAAGACTTCAGACTTTGTCTTAATTGGCATTTCTATTACTGTGATAAAAGACTATAGACCAAAATCAACGTGAGGGCAAGAAGGTTTATTTCAGTTTTCAGTTCCATCCCACAGTCCATCCCTGAGGAAAGTTACAGCAGGAACTCAAACAAGGCTGGAACCTACAGTCTGGAACTGAGCCAGAGGCCATGGCGGGATGATGCTTACTGGCTTGCTCCTTGTAGCTTGCTCAGCTGGCTTTTTATCCCTTGCAGGACTAGCAGCCCAGGTGTGGCACCAGCCACAGTGTTCTGAGTTGTCAACCCCAAAAAAATGTGCTGTGGGCTTGCCCACAGGGCAATCTGATGTAAGGTCATTTTCTCAACTGAGGTTCCCTCTCTCCAAAATGACCCTTACTTGTGTCATAAAACTATCCAGCAAAGAATTGTAGACTGTTCAAAAGCCTCTTGCTTTAATCGCATCTTCTTGGTTATCCCATTCTGCATTAGCTTTGGCCAATATCTTGGTTTTTATATGTAAGGGAGGAGAAAGAGATAGAATACAGTCTTTATAAGTCATTGTATAGGATTCTGTAATTCTTCTAGTTTCTTCCCAGTAACCAAGAAACAGTAAGGCATTTCCGTTTTTAGACAATCAACAATATACCAAGAAGTTAGAATAACAATGATCCACTGGGGAGATGATTCCGTATGTAAAGTGCATACTACATGAGCATGAAGATCTGAGTTTGGATCCCTGGTACTCATATAAATATCAGGCATCGGTGAAAGAACTCTATCCAGAATACACACATACATACACATTCACACACACACATACATAATAACACACAGTAACATACTCACACATACATACATACATAGTCATGCACAAACATACACCTTCACACACACACACACACACACACACACACACACACACACACACATACATACTCATATGCATATATACTCACACATACACATATATATATACAAACACACCCTTATACACATACATAGTCACATATGTACATACACATACACTGCCACCACATACATCCACACATTTATAAAAAGATATAAGAATTGTGAACTATCTGCCTAATTAAAACTTTTAATTCATTGAAACATAGCATATAATCTTATATTCATTCAAAGCTTGTACGATCCCTGGCAGAGAAAATATTTTTTGCTGAAAATAAATGTACAAAAATATTTTACAAAACACATTTGTGAGGTACTTATTGGTGCCCTACCAGGGTTTATAGAAGGATAGTTCTTGTTTCTTCTAGACATTTTCTTAAATGTTACTTTCCTGAGTAAATAGTCAATGATTTAAAATCCTTTTCCTGATCAGTGCTTTCGTAGTTATGGTTCAAAAGACAAACACCAATGAAGAACAACCGAGTGTTGGTTGTAAAATGATGATGAACTAAACATTCCCAGGCTTGGCTCTGCACCAAGCTATGTTCTCGGCTCTGTGCTCCATCCTTCATGAAAAGCAATGTAACAGAAGAGAGAAGCACAGGAAACCCTTGAGCTTATCTCTTCACTTCTCTACATACCATGCCTATGGCCTGTAATCTTTCATTTGTCTCTTTGATTCTTATAGTTAGTGTTTTACTGCTGTGAACAGACACCATGACCAAGGCAACTCTTTAAGGACAACATTTAATTGGGGCTGGCTTACAGGTTCAGAGGTTCAGTCCATTATGAACCTCCATGATATTCAGTCCTTGATGAAGGCAGGAACATGGCAGCATCTGGGCAGGTATGGTGTAGGAGGAGCTGAGAGTTCTACATCTTGTTCTGAAAGCAAACAGGAGAAGACTGTCTTCCAGGCGGGTAGGATGAGGGTCTTAAAGCCCATGCCCACAGTGACACACCTACTCCCAACAAGGCCACACCTCTAATTGGGCCAAGTGTATACAAACCATCACAGTTACTGAGGATGATAGAGGTGAAGAAGAACATAACTGAAAAGCTTTTCAGGCTGTAACTAGTAAGACCTAAGCCCTCGGCCTTCCTAATGATGCAGTTCCCCATGTTGTGGTGATCACCAATCAATCAGTTATTTTTTGTTGTTGTTGTTGCTACTTCCTAACTGTAATTTTGCTACTGTTATGAATCATAATGTAAATATCTGACATAAGATTCCTGAGAAAGGATCATTTGGCCCCCAAAGGGGTTGCAACCCATAGGTTGAGAACCTTATTAAATAGTTTTTATGAGTGTTTCTGAAAGAGGAATAGGTTGCTTGTTTTCTTCTTTGCTTCATGGATCTAGTTGGCCATCCCTTATCCAAAACACTTGGAGTCATACTGTTTTAAAAATGGAATTTTAAAAATTGTATTTGCCTAGTTTTACAAGTTGAGCATTCCTAATCTGAAATGCTCCAAGAACCACTCAAGAATCCTGTTTTGGGCACATGGGACAGATTGCTCAAACAAGATGGTTTTTATAACGTCCGTCTTTTCTTCCTGTGGTCCTTGCTCAGCTCAGATGTTTGCTGCCCTTTGCTATTCCTTTGGTAATGTGGATTTGATTGCAGGTGGTTTATTTGGGAGTTGAGGAAGCACCTTAGAAGAGCAGGAGTGAAGTGGGAGAGCCCATCAGAGGCAGCTTACCCTTCTCATCAGTTACAGCTACAGGCAGCTGGGAATATTCTGGGACGTGTGTAATCCACACATTTCAGAGCCAGCCTTAGGTATGGGCAGGGAAATAGAACTATTCACACACCAGTTTCCTTCTAAGTCCTCCAGCTGAGGCAAGTTAGAATCAGCCCTGTGTGAGCCTCAGGATGTAGTCAGTGACCAGGGATGTGAATGGGCCATGTGCTGGTTCGAGCTACTGTACCATCTTGGTACCCATTCACCCATACCAAGTGCCACATAGTCCAGAAGTGCTGTGATTTTGAATATGTGTGTGTGTTTCTCTGTGTGTTTTAATAAAACTCCAGTCTGGAACTTTGATTTCCATGGAATCATCTGAGATGCTTATTTAAAATGGGGCTTTTGAGTCAGGAAATACAAAGTGTGCCTCAGGAATCCTTCCACTTGACTCCTGTGTCACAGGAGCAAATGATTTCTGTGTTGGATTTTTGGAATGACTATTACTTGTAAGCACCCACTGGAAGGGAATAGACGGTATCCTCTCACGTAGTCTGATTCTCATCAAGTCTGTCTGCATCTGCGTGTTCGTTCACCCAAATCAGATGCTATCTCTATTAAAGAATCTTTTAGTGTTTTAAACCCCATTCTGCCTAAACCTGCTTAGATATAATTACAGAAGCACAATAAAGCATCTTTAAAATGCCTAGCAATTGTTTCTATTACCTTGTAAGGAAAGTGACCACTGCTAAACTTAATTTAATAAAACAATTCAGTCTGTGCGGTTCATTATAGGCTCCTAAAATGGCTTCTCAGTTGTAGGCCTCATATTTCTAGTCTGAGGATTCAAGAGTGCTTGGTATAAGAACCACTGGCATCAATCTGGTTTTTCCCATGAATTGCAAGTCATACCAAAAGCCCATCTATAGCCTATTAAACAGATAGGGAAATGAGATAGCATAAAGCATAATGGTGTGTGTGTGTGTGTGTGTGTGTGTGTGTGTGTGTGTGCACACGCGCGCGTGTGTACATGTGCTGTTTGAAATGTTCACATCAAGCACAGTAGAGTTAATTAAAGCCACACTTGTAAATGTTTACAAAATGCTAATGAGGAGTCTTGGGGAGCTATGTTGTCTGGTCCTGAGAGCCTAGTGTAGACTAGAAAGTCTTCTCTCTCAACCAGCATTTCCAAGTTCCCAGAGCCTCCCTCCTCCAGTTAGAAGCCTTCTGGGTACAAATTAGGAACTGTGGAAGTCTTCAGGTGTCCCAGCTCTTGGGATCTGAGTCTGGGCTGTGTAGCAGTTGTGTGCACCACAGAGAAACTTGGTTTAAGTCAAAATGCTCATGATTCTGATGCCAACTCACAGTGACACCAAGGTGACCACTGAAAGGGTGAGAAAAAGAAGAGTGTTGTTGTTAGGTGTCCTTGAAGTTGTTGGAACAATATTGTAACATCTCATTTTATCTCTTGAATATCACTAATTCCTACTCAAGAGACTTTCCCATTTGGAGCAGAGGAGCAGCACTGTCTGTTGTCTTTTCTACAGTAAGCCGGAGCTGGGAACTCAGACTCCCCGTGAGAGCGCACCTTACTG